AGAGGTTGAGAAAGAGAGTTCTTCATGATAGCCTCAGCAGGTATGTGAAACAATATTGACACCACTCACATTGCAAACCAGTCATCCAGCCAACTGAGCTAACTGACCCCCTCCCACCCCATCCCCAAAACAGCCAGAATGAAGAGCCAACCATGTTGCTGTGATCTGGAGTCACACGTAAACCAGACCAGGTGAAGATGGCAGATTTCCTTACATAAGGGACATCAGTAAGCTAGGTGGATTTTTCCAACAGTGTTTATGTGGTCTCCATTTGGCTAGCTTTTAATTCTAGATTTTCATTAAATTCAAGTTTCATTCTCTGCCATGGTGGGTTACGAGCCCATGTACACAGAGCATCAGCCTAGGGTTCTTAATTACTAGTCGAGTTACATTACTATTATGCCACTGCCTCTCAATTATGAGAATTAGCAAGTTGTTTCATCTGATGAGTCACAGCCAAGCTTAATCACGTCAGAACCCTGGACAATTTTCACCTTCCCAACCTAATTAGATCAAGGTCATCGACAGCACCTTTATCACAACAGCTGAGATCAGCTAAGTCACCAAAACTTGGAAATGTTGATGGCTAAATTAATTCAAAGAATAAGATGGGTTAGAGTAAAAATTCTTGAGTGAATGTTCTTTTGTGTGGTTTTAGGGCAACATCTGAAAATTTGAAATCAAGACAGCCTAATTAAGAAGGAAAGGTAAGAACTCTCTTCATGCTTCGGCTTCTATAGAACTCTATTTGTTGCATGCTAATGCTATATATATAGTAATCAGAGGAATACCACGCTCAGGACTGACTGTTATGTTGTTCAGAGACAGCGATCTACAGCTCTTCTCTCTTTACTCTAACTGACTAACTCCACACACACTGTGCTATCTATACTTTGTGAGAAGCAGCTCTGTGACATTATCATAGTACAATATCTATGGTACTAAAGCTTTACACATCAAAGATGTTAATAACTGAATAACCTGTGATCTTTGATAAGTGCCTGAGCATTTCCTGTAATATTGCATTGTATCTGTGAGCTTGTGATTTTTAAAATTTGTTACAAAGGCTTTAGAATTCTCATTTTGGATTATTTTTCAAGTAAATAAATAATAGAATGTATTATTTCTCCTTGGTGTTATATTTAAGTGTGGTTAATTTCCGGAAATAATCTCAACTTTATTGTTCATTTTCCATCTCTTTCTGAATTTGCTTGATAATTTGTGAAGCTATTTCTGGTAAAATTCTTCATCATAAATATTGTCCAAATCTTATGATAGGTCTTCAATTATGCTAAGAAAAATATAGCCTTGATTGTTTGTCATTTGTGCTCCTTGAACTGGTGCTACCATTTCAATGTCTGTCATAGTAAGAATTATTTAGTTAAGTTCAAATCAATCATTTAAGTTTTCAGTTTATTTACAGTGTTGTGCTTAGTAAAACAGAGTGAAGCAAGGGCAATGAAGTTGGTGTGCAAGATGTGAGATCAAAGCATTAATAAACACATTGAATGAGGAAGGACTATAGTAATAAAAAGCAGAGGGCCAGCAGAATAAAGAAAGAATGGAACTATCAGAGACACAGATTATTGGAGAGGATGACTAGTGTGGTGACAGTGAGATTCCAAAGTCAGTTTAGAATTGGGGTTGAAAGAATAGCATGAACTGACGTAATGCATCAATTGTGAATTCAAGGAAGGGATCTTGAGATTAAAATACAATAAGTGTCTGAAACAAGAAGAGATGTGAAACAGGGACAATGCAATTGATGCAAAAGTTAAACAACAAGCTCACTTGAGTGCAATTTCAATACCAAGGATTTAAAACTATATCATTTCAACATTTTGATGCATTTCTATTCTTCTGAAACTTTTCATTGGTGCAGGCATTTCAGTTTTATGTAGATTGAATCTTTTTAATTGTTTACACTTTATTTTTTATGAATGAGCAATTCAAGTACCTGCCTTTTTAGTTTGAATTTATGTTGTTTTATTGAAAAAGATGCATGGTGACAATTTTTCTCCACAAATAATTTGCCAGTGTTCTTTTGACTACAGAAGCAAATTGGCTTGTCATGAGGAAACAGTTCTACAGAAAACATTTACATAGAATCATAGAATTTTACCGTACTGATCAACCGATCATGTCTGTACATCCCCAAACGAACTACCCTATCTCTGTACCCTTCTAAATTTAGCACTTTCAACTATATATCCAGCTGTCTTTTGAAACCTCCTATGGAATCCATCTCTAACACTCTGCCACGCAGCACATTCCAAATCAGAACAACTCCCTGAGTAAAGAAGTTTCTTCTCATCTCACTTCTAGCTCTCCAGCTGACAGTCTCGAAATTGTAACCCTTAGTGACTCAAATATCTACCAGTGGAAACAGAATATCTTTCTGTCAAAATTGATCATAATTTTGAATACCTCAATAAGGTCACCTCTTAATCTTCTCTGCTATAAATTGAAGTCTTCTTTTGCCCTTTATTTCAGATACACACTTGCTGCATAGATAATAATTATAGTCCAGGAGTAACAATAAATCAACAATTGAACTAAATAAATCCACTATGACAAGACAGTTAATGCTTAAAAATCATTGCCATACGATGAATAAGTGACGTTACATTACAAATCAAATGAGATGCATTGTTGCAGGAATGAAGGGGATGAGCTACAAATGCATAGAAGCAAAAGGAACAGGATTAGACAAATAGCCCGCTGAACCCATCCTGCCTCTCAATTAGATCATGGATACTACATACTTCAGTTTAATTTATTTCTGTTTATTTCATACCCTTTTCAAAATTAAAATGTTTTTTGAGGTTTGAAGCCCCAAACTGTACAGGGTACTACAGGTAGTGTCCGGCCAAAGCATTGAATAATTGAAATATCACTTCCTACTTATGTATTCCAACATAAAGAACATGCCTTGACATAAAGGCCAACATTCATTAGCTTTACTAATTAAATGTTAAATGTCTGCACAAGCTTTTAATGCTTTCGTGGATGTAAGCATTTAAATATCTTTGTTCCTCCACAGTTTTCAACCTTTTTCAATGAAGAAAGCATCCTAGCTTGTTTTCCTCAGATATATAATGGAGTGACCTTTGTTATGTTCCAAGTGATCACTAATATATTAATTTTAGCAATTACAATTTGAACTTCTATTTTTTCTTGTTGAGAAAAAAATACTCATAAGAAATAAGTGGATTTTAGATGAGGCACGAATTGTTCTGTAAAAAATATTTATTTGCTAATACTCTTTGTATTACAAAATAGTAATATTAAGCAGGTCTAATATATGTACTAAAAAAAGGACAACCTGACCTACAATGTATTTGTAACTAAACAGAAAGATAACATGTTACATGAAGTTCATGTTTATGCCTAACTGAATTTGCACAAAGTAACCACAAATGATTACATTTTGGGCGCTGATGCTTTGATGAATATGAACTGTGAACATGAGGTTTCAGTTTAGTACTTTCCCGTTGTGTAAATAATTTAATGTGATGGCAGAGATTTTAAAATTGGTCATTTCGGCCTTATGTGATTTGCAGAAATATTGATTAATACATTAGTTCGTAGATATGAGTAATGACACAGAACTGTACAGCTCAGAAGAAGACCAATCAGCCCATTGCATTTAAGTGCATACTCTTTGAAAGAGCTATCCAATTATCCTCAGCGCCATGCTCTTTCCATATTACTTTAAAAAGGTTTACTTTTTGAGCCTTTTGGGCAGAGCAGCCCAGATCATAAAAATAAAATCCCTTATCCCTTATTATGAAAAAGAAAATCCCTTATCTATTCCTTGGTGTTTTCACCAATGATCTTAAATCTGTGTCTTCTGATTACTGACACAATTGCCAGTGGACAGTTTCTCCTTCTTTACTCTGACAAAAAGCCTTCATAGTTTTGAATACCTGCATTAAATCTCCCCTTAACCTTTATAGCTCTAAGAACAATGATCTCAGTTTTGCTAGTCTATCCAAATAACTGATGTTTCTTGTATATCAAAATAAATGTATATTAGTCCAATTTGATAGTAGGTTTATAAAGTTGGCTTATCAAACCATGCAATCTAATTTTGCTAATGTTCGAATCTGCTTTTGTAAGCATTCTTATATGGGTTTTTGTAATTTGTTACACTTAACAAGTTAACAATGTCTACCCTGCAAGATATCCAAATGTAGACCTGTAAAGAAAAAAACAATTTCTAAGCAAACTTGATTACATACTTAATGAAACATGCATAGAATTTAAAATATTAGAATAGAAGTACACAGTTTTGATGAATTTTGTTATTTTGGGCAGCTTTGATATGGCAAAAACATGATGAGGACCTTGTCTTGTTGGAATACAGCATCTTGTGATGTGTATTATTAATTAGACTTTGCCTGATATCTTCAGCTCAAAGCATTTTTGCACTGTAATTTGTTGGAAGGGCAAGATGACAATGATGTGGTGCACACAACAGGGAACCTGAGACCTTTTGGAACCATGGGACCAAAGTTTTACTGAACATTTGTTTCCACTTTTCATGTCATATGAAGAACAACATTGTGTTGACTCAAAATATATTCTTATAAAAGCAAGGATTTAACATTTATTGAAACATCTATAAAAGGATGAGGCATGCGTATTTCGGTGTTGTTTCTCTTGGTTGTTGAAGCAGTTAGAAGTGTTTCACCAACCTCCGACCTCATCATGCACTGTTATTTCCTGTGCCACCAGACCAATGGCATGTTGACATCGGAAATAGCTTCAGATCAGTTAACTTGAAACTACCATAAAAAAGGGACTTTTGAGGCTTCCAGCTCTATACCAGGTTAATACTTCAGACCGTCTCTATTTTGCAAACAAACTGCACAAATTCGAACTTTTGAGTGCGCCATCGACACTTGTGTGGATGAAAACAAGGAAATTGCTGAACCCATTCTTTTGGCAACTTGGCATAAGTTACTTCGAAGTCAGAGCAAATTTGCAGCGACCAGAACCGAAATGTTCACTAAAGTTGGAGTCACCGAGCAGCACGGCTACATATTTTCTGAGTATGCTCCCTATTCGGAGTACGACGATTATGTGGATGACACAGATGGAAGAATCTGTCCTCCTCAGAATTTACATTTCCTTAACATCGCAATCTCAATTCTCTACTACCTGATCTTCATCGTTGGGTCGTTGGGGAATATATTTGTTATCATAGTAATGATCTGCAAAGAGAGGAGGAGGAAGAGACTGGTAGATACTTTTGTGATTAATTTGGCCTTTGCAGATCTAATCTTTGTCTTCACCTTGCCATTCTGGGCAGCCTCAGCCAGCAGCGACCATCAGTGGAACTTTGGCAGCGCCTTCTGCAAGATCAGCAGCTATATTGTTGCTGTGAACAGGTATTCCAGCATCTTCTTCCTTACCTGTATGAGTATTGACCGATATCTAGCCATCGTGAAACTACGGGACTTCAAGCACATCAGAACCCAGAAATACGCCGTGACCATTAGTTTAATGATCTGGGTCTCTTCCCTGCTTCTCGCCATACCTTCCGCCTACTTTCGAAAACCTGACCAATTGAACGTGACCCAGTGCAGGGAGGACACGGATTCCCCCTTCCTCCGAATATTCAATCTGACCGCTGTCAGCCTGACCTTTGTCCTGCCCGTTATCATTATCCTGTTCTGCTACTGCTCCATCCTTGTCAAGCTCCGGCATCATTATGGCCACAGCACGAAAGCCATCCAGAGACGGGAAAACTCTCTAAAAATCGTCTTCGCCATCGTGTCGGCTTTTGTTTTGTCCTGGTTGCCTTTTAATGTGTTCAAAACGATCGCTCTGTATTTGCAGTTCCACAACACCGACCTGTCCTGCTGGACAGTAGTGAGCCGAGGTTTGGCCATTGCTTCGTGCATTGCTTTCATTAATAGCTGCGTGAACCCGATCATTTATGCATTTTTAGACCGGAATTTCAGGCAGAGAACTGGCTGGCTCACTTCTTATGTTTTTGCCAGTCTGGGCAAGAGAAGCGGTAGCTTTGGGTCTGGGTCAACACCTTCAGAGAGCAGCACAGTGCTTAGAATACAGAGTCTTCTGTCCCAACAGTGAATGTTATCTGTACACAAATTTCTTTTTTTAAGAAAGGTGCCAGACAAGCTGGTATTGCTGATTAAATCTGTCTACAGCTAAAATGTAAAGGGCTCTTCTTCGAAAAGGGATTTTTGCAAGCTTCTTATACAAATGTATCTGAAAATTGGGGAGGTTGAGCACAGCTCTGATCGACACAAAGAGCAAATATGTTGCATTGAATAGTTGACTTGAGTTTGTACTTTCACCGAGTGTCAAACGTCTAGATCAGCTTGCTCTGTCGTCATTGAAAAGCAATGCATGTTTCTTACCATGTAACCAAAGTATTTGGATCGCTTTTAATGTTTTATATCGAATTAAATAAACTTTTAATCAAACCTACCTTCTTTTTCCTTGGTTCTTGTTCTCTGCTGTCATTGCAAGTTTGAAACTGAAAGTTTTAAAAAGTAAACGAAACAGATTGCTTCTCAGAGGAAACTAGTAACAGACATGGAGCTATGCCAGCCACAAATGTGTATTTAGCAATTAACTCATTGGAACACGTTCCTCCATCAAAATATTCGAGAGCGAGCTCGTGGTGAAGGGATTTATGTATTCGGTATTATTAATATTGAATCTAATACACCGTATCGAGAGCTGCGGAGGTATTTTTGGTCCAAAATTAACGATGCTAAGAAATAACCAGGGTAATGAAAAACATTTACTCTCAGCCAAAAAATTAAAATTTTGTGGAGCGTGCTAGTAAACTTTGTAGATTTCAAATAATGTGGAACCTTTATACCTGTTCCCAGGTTACTGTTAAATTACTAAATTCTACTAAACACCTCATTCACGTCTAAACATTTTTGTGTTTAAAATTTCTGATCATTAAGGCAGTCAATGTTGGGGTCTGAAGCTTCAGTGTTGTTAATATTCAATCAGGGCACAATGGGAGCCACCTCTGGAGTAACACCACATTTATCCTATTGGACTAACTTCTGAAAAGAACTTTCTTGGTGAAACTGTGCTTTCCCCTATATTTTTCTCATTAGCCATTTTTGTCATGTTAGACTGTCAAGGTTAGTAGCAATTTGTGCTAAATTTTAGTGAGCTTGGTGATTTATGCAAACATCTTACACAAACCCAACAGTGATTAGAATTTATTTTATATGGGCCAGTACTGCTCGCAACCACAGATTTTTTTTTTACTGTATACACGCACAATTAAATTTATTGAACAAAGATGATCACAAAATATTTGAGCTTGTTCATGATTTTAAAAATGACAAGAACAAATTGAAAGTAGATTACTGAGTGATTGGAACAATATTTGACAGATGGATTTTAATCTAGATAAATGTAAAATTATTAATAAGGCAGCAATGAACCAATCATTAGAGTGGAACAGTTGTACAGGATGCTAGTCACAAAAGGGATTGGGGAATGTTACAAATAAATGTATAAACAAGGTGTTTAGTTGCTATTAGAATAAACACGGAGTAGGAAGCTGTGTTTACACAAGGCTAAAATGAAAATAATTAAACTAATGTATGAAGCATATATCAGAAAATATCTGAAAGTCTGTATGCAGTTTTGGTCACAATGTCAGTGCAAGCTGATTCTGGCCTTTTCAATTAAATAGAAGATATGAAAATAATTTAAATTATTTACAATCTACCTAGAAAGCAATGTTGGGGAGGTTAGCCTAATTGAGGTTTTACCATTCCCTGAATTCCACCTTTCCACAAATAAAAAGATTTATGTTTGTTTTGCTAATAGCCCTCACTTGACTTTCTCTGGCAGCTTGCTGATTTACTCAATAAAAACCAAAAGAGCTGCGGATGCTGTAAATCAGGAACATAAACAAAGTTGCTGGAAAAGCTCAGCAGGTCTGGCAGCATCTGTGAAGGAAAAAACAGAGTTAATGTTTCAGGTCCGGTGACCCTTCCTCAGAAGGGTCTGAGGTTCTGAGGAAGGGTCACCGGACCCGAAACATTAACTCTGTTTCTTCCTTCATAGATGTTGCCAGACTTGCTGAGCTTTTTCAGCAACTTTGTTTTTGTTGCTGATTTACAATGCTTACAATGTCCACAATGCATAAGTTTTACTGTAACCTACTCCCAACCCAACCTATTAGTAAATTACATCTTGAACCTTATATGGTTCACCATCTCTCTAAGGAGCTTTACTTTGTACACACATGATAAGCTCCTTCATGGAATTTTATGAATTGTTTATTGTCGCATATATCTGGAAAGATACAGTGAAAAGTGTCCTGAGTCCACAATCCAGTGCCATTTTGAGTTACAAAAGAATAAAAAGAAATTACATAAATAGAGTTCATCTTCTGTACAAGCTCCTGGGCTTCTGCAAAGTGTCCCAGGTCTCAATGATTCACTACTCTGGGTACAGCAACGATGATCCTGCCGAGAGTCCACGCTCCAGGCCTACTGCAGCCAGGAGTCCCACTACAGCCACCATTACAGCCGACGCCCCACCAACACCGCTCCGGCTTTCCCCACAACATCAGAGGAGGAATAAAAGAAAAAAGAGCATGAAAAAGTTGAAAAAAGAGAGAAAGAGAAGGATGCAGCTGGCCTGGAGTGGACGAGGTCAGGAACCTGAACACTACCTACCATGCCAGCACTGCCATCTTGAATTTTGTATTTAATTTTTTAATATAAATTTTCTTCTGGACTGAGCACACCATTTGATGCACTTCAACTCACAAAAAAACTCCAGGAGTTCAAAAGAAATATGACCGTAATCTAATTCTTGAGTATTAACCGTATTTGCATTGGTAAATGTTTATCTGTGAAAGCAATCATGGACCAGCTTCCTGTGCTCTGAACCAAGAAGATAGATTGCAGTTGCATCAGATCTACAAAATCTTTGCTTAGAAGAGCACACCTTTGTCTATGTGAGGGTATGGGATGGTAAATATCCTCTGTTAATTAAATATTCTTGACCACTTAAATTATATTGAAGCACCAACTGAGGATTCACCTCCACTTATAATCTTATTGGCTGTGATTATATGTTCATTTAACCCATAATAAACTTGATAAGTATTTTGACTACTGCATTAAAAAGCCTTATTTCTGCTAGAGAAGGGTTGCATTATTACAAAAAGAAGTACACAGTGTGGAGTTGGAGGAACACAGCAGGTCAGGCAGCATCAGAGGAGCAGGATAGTTGACATTTTGGGTCGGGACCCTTCTTCAGAAACGGGGAGGGGGAAGGGAGCTTGGAAATAAATAGAGGCAGGAGGGGTGGGGCTAGGGAAAGGTAGGTGGGATGGTGATATGCGAATACAGGTAGGGAGTGGTGGGGATTGGTCAGTGGGATGGATAGGTGGGAGAGAAGATGGACAGATTGTGTCAGGTCAAGGAGGTGGGAGGGAGGATGGGTGGGGCTGGGGAAAGGTAGATGGGGTGGTGATAGGTGAATCCAGGTAGATGGTGTTGGGGATTGGTCGGTGGGAAAGGTAGGGTGGATAGGTGGGGAAGATGATGAACAGGTTGTGTCAGGTTGAGGAGGCAGGGGTAAGAAGGAGATTTGGATGCGGGATGAGGCCACCTAAAATCTAACTCCAGCCAAAGAGATATTTCCCTCTCCACCCCATCTGCCTTTCATAGGGACCGCTCACTCCGCACCTCCCTTATCCGATCCACACTCCCCACCAACCCCACCACACCTGGCACCTTTCCCTGCAACCGCAGGAAGTGCTACACCTGTCCCTCCACTTCCCCCCCTCACCTCCATCCAAGGCTCTAAGCAATCTTTTTGTATCTGACAGAGGTTCACCTGTACATTCTCCAACTTCATCTACTGTATCCTTTACTCCTGATGTGACGTCCTTTACATTGGTGCGACAAGACGCAGACTTGGGGACATTTCGTGGAGCTCTGCACTCTGTACGCGATAATCAACAACACCTTCTGGTCGCCAACCATTTTAACTGCCCCTTCCACTCCCTTGATGACATGTCCATCCTGGGCCTCCTCTAGTGTCACAATGACGCCACATGCAAACTGGAGGAGCAACACCTCATATTCCGCCTCGGGAGCCTACAGCCTGATGGCCTTAATATAGAATTCACCAGTTTCAAAATCTCCTCACATCCGGCCTTACCGCACATCCAAACCTCCTTCTCATCCCCAGCTCCTTGACCTGTCCATCTTCTTCCCCAACTCTCCGCCCTACCCTTTCCACTGACCAATCCCCACTACCCTCTACCTGCGTCGACCTATCACCATCCCACTTACATTTACCCGGCCCCATCCCTCCTCCCTCTATTTATTTCCCAGCTCCCTTTCCCCTCCCCATTTCTGAAAAAGGGTCCCAACCTGAAATGTCTGCTCTTCTGATGCTGCCTGACTTGTTGTGTTCCTCCAGCATCTGTAGTTCTTGCTATCTCACAACGATAACAATGAACTGGGAGATGAGCAAGTGAGAAAGGAGCACTGTTTGGCTTATTCATTTGATTCTAAACTATCTTGATTGTACTTTTGTCCTTCCTTGATATTTATCAAAAATATCTACTGCTGGCAAAGACAAAACACAATTAATACAGGACAAGTAAAATTAAAGCATAAAAATGTTAGAAGGACTCAGCAGGTCAGGCACGACCTGTAAAGACAGAAGTAGAGTTCATGCTGATGACTCTTCATCAGATAATCAGAGCAATAGGACATGGCACCCAGATATAAAAGATGTCTTATCAACTCCTAGGTCTACTGAAGAAAACAGACATCAAGAAATGTCAAGGGAAGGGCAGCAAGCCTGTCACTTAAGCCACCAGGAGGGAGGTAACATTGGCACTAATAATCAAGTCCTCTCACTCCCAGGACTGCGGAGTGGTGCTACACAATGGCTACTGATCTATCCTACATCTGTAATCACTTACACGTGCACACCCCTAAATCATCTCCTGGACATATACTTCTTCGCATCACCTGGTCCTTATTTCTCAATGCAAGCTTCCCTAAATTTATAAGCTTGTTGCAAGACAATATGGCTCAGGCTGACCATGAGATTCAAATTATATCAGATGAGTCAATCTCACTTATAAACACCTCACGTGCTGTGAAGAGAAGGTCTGAAGCTCATGTTGAGGCATTTGCTGTGGGAAGTAGTGATGTTGGCAGCATATTAATGGCAGAATTTTAGTGTCTGATCTACACTGCAGTCTGATATTCTGGGGGTAGACCAAGCAAGTATGTGTCCCTAATCACTATACTCCATTGGAATAATACTTTTAGCTACAGCTGCCTTTTATTGCAGACATAGCACAACAACTAGAAAGCAGAGCACAAGAGATATGGTGAAATGGGGAAGAACAGAAAATG